TAACAAATGGAAACCAGATCCCAAGAATTGGATTTTAGGGGTTGAGATCACCTGAGGATATGAAAATCAATTCCAATTCATCTTTTACATAACAAAATTGAGAATTCAGCCAAGTTCAATCAAAATTCTCATTATTCTGTCTAGCTTGAGTTAGACAAATAAAGGGGAGGAGAATCCAAATTTTCTTTCACTGGGTGGCACCAGGGTCATAACATGAATTCTGATCGGAACTTCCTAAATATAAATATATGAATATATGAAATAATCCAACTAGATATTATTTTATTCTGATTCAATGTATTAGGAAGCTCTACGTTGGTTAAATATTGGGTCAAAACAAAATAAGTTTCTGGATCATTTTGAACTGCGATAGTTGCCAGTTTCATAGTTGAACATCCAGCTCAAAAGTTGAACAGATGACTAGGGCTGCAAACTGATACTTATTAGTCAATAGAATTGCAGTATATTATAAAGTGTTACAATCCTTATAAGCAAAATAAGATAAAAAAAATTAGACCATTGGCACATAAACTAATACAATTCCATGAAAATGTTAATGCAACAAGGAATTAATTCAGTCTGGCATTACTACAGAGGCCACAGCAAACAAACATGTCCTTATGAAATAATTGTCTATGTTCCCTATTGCTGTCTGACAAGCTGCAGAATATTGATCACAAAAAAGGGAAAACGAGCCAGTTCAAGCTGCAGTGAGACATAAATACTCTTTGATGAAAAGAAAGCTATATTGCTTGGATTGCAACAGAGGTTCTCAGTGGAAATCATCAAACTGGCCATTTTATCCCTCTTGCTAAACAAAGATAGATTAAGGTGGACAGGACTATTTCCCCCTCCTTGTTTTAATGCTGGAATTACAGTTACTACAATCATTATGAGTCAGAAATCAAATGACACCAGGCAGTCTGTAAGACTTTAACATAGGATGCACTCTACAAGCTATGAACCTTGAAGTATCAGCATAAATGTGGCATTCCCAGGAGAAGAAAGTATTAGCTTTACAGTTGATTTTGCATGAGATCCTTTCTGGGGAAAAAATAGTTCCAATTGATTCCAACTGGAAAACTTAGAGCAGATTCTATTTATTTTGTTGTCCCTTCCATATTTTGCCCTTTTTCCAAGAATTTAATGGTCAACAATTATTGGACAAAATAAAATATTGCCCATGATTTCTTACTGGAGTTCACTGTCACCAGATGTGGAAATGATCATTAGTTTAAGTAGACTTAAAGAAGAAAATTTCATGAACAATGCATCTTTAAGTGGATCATGGGACTTTCACATCCAGGGACAATCTGTCATTGAGTATCAGTTACTACAGAACATCAAAAGATCACATGTGCATGAATACCTTTCAGTTCTTTCCATCTGAAAGGCAACTATGGGAATTGAAAAAAATTGAGCCAGATACATCTGTTGCCGTTATCAAGTTGGAAGATAGTATAGAAACTGTTATAGGAGAAGCTTGTACTACTATATCATTACTGGTTATATTTTTAAAGGGGGGGAATTGTCCCAGACTCAGAGCTGGTTCCAACAGGACAGAAAACGAGGAGCTCAAATGTTGCTTTGGACTGACAATGTCACATTAGATGACCAGTAAAGTTTTGGAGCAGAGAGATCATTATTTAGGAGCGTTTTATTGCTTATATTGTAGCCTATTAAATATGGTAGACTAATCAGATGCTAGGCATGATAAAGATTTCACAATCTTGTGTCAGAAGGGAAAAGAAAATTGTTTTGCCTGGCCTCATTCATGTGGATTGCATTAATTGCTTATGTCTGACAAAATGGATGATTTATTATTGAGAAGAGAACTGCATCCCACATCTGTTGTCATTATGAAAGCTACACAAAATGTTACTGAAAACAAAAATCTGTTTGATTTTTGTTTATTTCCTTTGCTTCTCATCGTATTACAATATTGGGGTAATATATTACTGGACCCTGAATGGATGTAACTGAAGAAGTAAGTGATATTAGAATTAATTTCTATACTAATTACTATGACTGAATTGCAATTAATACTGTACAACAGGGGTATCAAACAAGATTCCAGTGAGGGCCGCATCAGGGTTGTGCTTGACCTCGGGGGCTGGTGTAGGCATGGCCAGGTTGGCCGTGGCCAGCTTGATGTCACTCATGTAAGGGGCAGAGACACTACGGGCCAGTCCTTCGTTGTTTCCGGGATGGCCTTTGGACTAGATCTAAGCACCCCTGCTGTACAATAATAATAGCTCCAACACATTTCCAGATTTATACAACAGACAAAGCACAGGTCAAAGCACTTTTGACTTGTATATTCTGAAATTAGATATAGACAATCCTGAACCTCAAAATCAACAATTAAAACTGTTGTATTATGTATTACTAAATGAAAGACACGTGTTGTCATTACATACTCTATAGTCTCTTCCATCACTACATTTCCCATTATGCATGTATAGTTGGAGAGAGAAGAGGTTGAGTACCAATGGTCATTTTTGGCAATTTTCCTCCAACCGCTTGTCTTTCTCATATCTAATATCTCTTTCTCCTCAATTTACCTTCTGTTCCTGCACCAGAACTAAAAATATTTAAGAAAACAAAATCCAAGGTGGAGCAATTTTAATCTGCAGCACATCTGAAAGATCTCTGTGTGGTCTCATTTACCTTCCATTTCCACAAGTAGTCCATAACTTACAATCATTTGTTTAGTGACCATTTGAAGTTATAACGGCACTGAAAAAAGTGATTTATGATTTTTTTCACGTTTACGACCATTGCAGCATCCCTGTGGTCAGGTGATCAAAATTCAGGTGCTTGGCAACTGGCAGGTATTTATGACAGTTACAGTCTCTCAGGGTCATGTCACATGATCAGCTTTAGTGACATGCCAAATCAATGGGGAAGTCAGATTCGCTTAACAACTGGGTGTTACAAACTTAACAACTGCAGTGATTTTCTTAACAACTGTATGAAGAAAGATCATAAAATGGAGATAAAATTCACTCAACAACCGCCTTGCTTAGTAATGGAATTGTTGGACTCAGTTGTAGTTGTATGTTGTACTTGTTTTTCATTCCCCTGTATGGCCATTGAAAGGGTGAAAAACCAAACCAACATTGCTCATCACTTCATTTCAATCTCAATAGCGTTCAATGATAGTTACCCCCAAAGGAACAGTTTTCAAGAAAGACTAAGAGGAAAATTATTTCCGCCCTACCTAAGACTGGATCTCTTTAGAGCTAAATTTAACTATGTCAATAAACCTTCCAGTTAAGCATGTTGTAGGGGTCAGAGCGACAATGACTTATTTATTTGTTTATTTGTTTGTTTAATATATTTTTCATGGCCCTACTTGTGCCACTTAAACATTTACCTCAGCTCCATTTATACAACTGTACAGAGATTCATCCAGCTGTCCTCACAATATGCTTAATTTTTTACTTGTATCACCAATGTAGATTAACCCTACATTGCTAAAACCCTGGTTTGAGATATTAAGCTATTTCACACAACAATTCAAACAGTCTTTAGGAGATGACTAGGCTGAGCCTGAGGAAGGGAATCAAACACATCATCAGTCATGAGTTCCGCTGTGCCCACAAGAGGTCTAAGTCCATCCCACCTTGAATTCCTTCTTAACTCCCACTTATTTCCCTTGACTGTTAATAGTTCAGATTCTTGTAGAGACCTTAAGCTTGCAATAAATCCTTATATTCATTTGACCTGCCTGAATCTCTTGATTTCCACCATGATTGACAGATACAGCCTTTATGAGCTAAATAAATGATATACCTGTAGGTACTTAGATTGGACAGGTTAATCTGCTATTCTTGGCCCCCAGTAAATTTGGGAGGGCCTGAAGAATCTCCCAAAGTTGGCATTGAATTGTAGTTTTCAGTATGAATAGAGAGTAATTCATTTAACTGAATATAATTGATGTGATTTACATTCCATTAAAATTATTCAAAAGTCCATTTCTCTGAGCTCTCCTCACCTACTTTTTGAATATGACTGGCAGATGCCAGTGAAACAGTATGTATAAACCTCAACCACCAAATATATTATGTACTCTTAGGACAATAATTTTCAGGATATCTGCGTATAATGATGCATTCAGTAGACGGGGAAGCAGACTCAATCTGCCTTTTCAGTTTAACATTTATTGCAGTCAATGTCCAGCTAATATAAAAAAACAAAATTGCACAAACTATATGATAAATCAAAATATACAGCATGCTGTCATGTTAGAAGAAGTAGCGGGTATGGGTATATAAACAATTTGAAATATATCACCTGGCCAAGATTTGAACTTAAGTTGTTGTTAATATTATAATAAAATAAAAATAATATTACTTACCTAGTTTGGTGAGGCAGGGGGAATAGAGAAAGAGCCAAAAACATCCATGGTCCACAGAGAGGAAACTCTATAGAGAAAAGAGGTAAACACATTTTACTGAAAACGCAACAAGGAGTTTTATGGTATTTAAGAGGACAAGACAATCAGATTTAACTCAGCCATATTCTAAATTATACTTGCAAAAAACATAAGGTGCAGCCAAGACGTTTAATTTTATCTAAATATCCTATAAGGAATAAAGGGCTTACCACTGTTTTCTGCCTATCACAATGAATTTGCTATTCTATTGACATATGCTATAAATTTAATTCAATATTGTGGTTTAGATGTCTCTCTTGATAAATTTCAGTGAAAATCTGTGCTAAGAAGAGTTGAGCTGTTTCACTAGTTAAAGAGTTTGAAAGGCAGAGAGCGGAAAGGAAAGATGATAATTAAAACAATGTTCATGTAAATCCATGCCATAATAGTTTCTGGGGCTCATTGCCTGGTTGTTTTGGAGGTTAAAAGGATTTGATTAGTTTTTGATCATATTGTACAAAAAAACGTTTATCTTGGTTTCCCGCAATATTTTCTTTGTTAGCTCCAAAGATCATGATCTGTGCTTATCTGATTTCTTTTATCTGTTCTTGTATTGTAGGCATATTGGAAATAACATCTGTGGAAATTGGAGTGGTGGCTGTTAAATCCATTAACAGCAATTATTATCTTGCCATGAATAAAAATGGCAAAGTCTATGGATCTGTAAGTACATTTCACTTTCTCGTATCTAGCTTCTTCTGTTTGTTTTTTACACATACACACACGCACACCAGTGGTGGAATTCAATTTTTTTTACTACTGGTTCTGTGGACGTGGCTTGGCGGATGTGGCAGGGGAAGGATACTGTAAAATCTCCATTCCCACCTCACTCCAGGGGAAGGTTACTGCAAAATCCCCATTTCCTCCCAATCAGCTGGGATTGATAGATGGGGCAGAGAATAGATGGGGGCAGGGGCAGGGCCAGTCAGAGGTGGTATTTACTGGTTCTCCGAACTACCCAAAATTGCCACTACCGATTCTCCAGAACTGGTCAGAACTTGCTGAATACCACCTCTAATATAGACATAAGATACATAAGTTTCTCTACCTAAAGGACTTGCAAGGCAAGTTATTATATATAAAGAGCAAATCCCACTGATAGATGTTACTATAGTTCCATTGGCAGGCAATCCTCTACAAACTGATTGGAAGACACTCATGATTGAAATCTAGATCTTCCACATGCAAAGAAAATGTTATTCAATTAATTATATTCCATTATTTCAAGTTATTATTACCCCTTTCCCTCTATAGCTCAGAAACATGGAACATTTTTATAGGTTTCTTCTGCCTGTAGTAGCATAAAACTAATGTTCATAGCTCCAATAAATATTTTCCTTTTTTTTCTTGGATTAAATATTCCCCAAATAGCTGTATTTAAACTTCACTCTGTCCGTAAAAATAAATTCTGCTCTGATAACCAAGTTATAAATAATGTAGACATCCAGCTACGTTATTGTCTATCTATATACTACTAAAACATGTAACCTTTAACTGGGCAAAACAAAGCAACCATTTTTGAACCAAGATTTTTTAAGTAACTTAAAAAGTCATAATTCCCATGGAATGGGAATTTGACAAATTTTATAAAACATTTTATGAATAAAGATTTTCATTAAACAGTTTATAACATAATATGAAATGTCATAAAACATTTCCTCTGCTAATGTTTGTGCTATGCAGTTCAGCGTGGGCTACTTTCAAGGCAGGTACTTCTCTGGGGAATTGGAAAAGTCACCACTGCCAACTCGCCATGGGACAACTCCCTGTGGGACAATTCAACAATTCAATTAATTATTAAATTAATTGAATTTAATGATTTTAAATAATTTTAAAAATAATTTTAATTATTGTCATTCACATTTTATTTTATCCCTACTTTGGTATCCTTTAATGATTCTATTTGACTATTTCTTCTATATTAGTGTAAATCTTGTCCTGTGGTGAATTGTCCCACAGTAAGTTGACTGTGGCGAGCTGGCTATGGCAAATTTGCTGTGGTGAGTTGAGCATGGCAAGTTCTTGTAGACCCACATCTCTGAATATATCCCAACCTTTCCAGATAAGGTAGCACATTAGAAATATTGTCATCATTGAAGACATTGACGAATCTGATGAGGAAATATCTCTGAAAAGATGATACAAAAAAATCATAGATTGCCTAGGTTAATAATAAAAATAATGTCAATACCCGCGAAAGAAAATTCAAGTACACACTTAGCTTTCCTTTTCTATTTTTTAAATTCTTTTATCAAGCTTACCCTCATGGAAAGTAGTATAATATCATATGATGCAACATTTGGATTTGAAGACAATTCATACAACCTACAAATGTCTATTATCCTAGGAAATGTTTAAAAAAGTAAACAAACAAATCAGATTCACGGATCTATTTCTATTATTTTATTTCCTTCTGTATTAGAATATATTTAACTGAACCCACAATAGCCCAAAATTCATTTCATTCCAATTTAATCAGACATTTTTCCTGGGAAATTTGTCAAATCATGTGATTTATATGAGCTTTGAAATCCAATAAATCCAGAGGGTGCTTGAGTGGGGGGAAAAACTAATATAGAATGTATGAAAGATTTGTTCATATTTAGTTTAGATCTTCTAATAAAAACCAGAGTCACTAATTTTTGTGCAACTTTACAAATAGGAATAATTTCTTAAATGATGTTGCACATGTACCACTTTCACAATGACATGGTCCAATAAATCACGTTTTAACATTTATATAATTCATTATATTAATAATCCTTAGCAGCCTTTATAAATTAATTTGCATTATTATACTCATCTGCCACACTCGGTAAATCAGATTTGAGGCTAAGAGATAATAATTTTCTAAAACTACTTGCTAAATTTATGGCAGAAGCAACATATTTACAAAGCGGACTGAACAAAATATGACTTTTATTTCTGCATTTTATTTTGTTTATGATGTGAAAATTGAAAATGTCCCAGAGGTGGGATGTATCACATGACTAATTAAATTGATTTGTTGCTGCATTAGTCAACAACATCCACCTGGTGAGTCTGAGGAACTCCAAAATTATTTTTTACAAAAATAAAATCTCTCAAGATCATTCAATATTATAGAAACTTTGGTGATCTTGCATGAAGTCTTGCAAGATTTCTGAATTCTCACATGACATCAAATTAGATGGACATCGCAGAGGATAAGTGAACAATAAAATGGAATGTTGAAGTTGTTTTGTATGCATGAGATATATATTAAAAAGGGATGAGCCTTCGATCATGTGGTTGTGTCTACCATCTTGACTTTCCTTAACCTCACCCCAAAAAACTTCATCATATAAAATATTGGAGGTGAGATTTCCAAGTTTCTTAAGATTTGACTATCCATTAGATTTTGGTCATTTTAATAGGCGTGAAGGAGGTGGCTCTCTACAGTTAAATCTGAATTTATTTGTAGTGATTAAACATTCTAAGAAAAACAATTTTCATTTAGATGGGTAGCTATGTCACATATATCAATCTTCTAATAAATAATAGGTAATTTATTTCCTTTGGTTTAATTTTAATTTACATTCAAAGAAAAATAATGTTTCATGTTTATTTAAAATAATTTTTAGCATTGTAGTGATTCAGTTTGAGCCTTTTGAAAAGACTCTGGTCAATGCACCATCACAAAAATAGGGATTCATTTATTCAGCATCTTGGTTACAGAATTTCTACAATTTCTAAAGGAGAGGTTTGGTTTTTCTTTGAAAGTAATTTCTTTAGTTTGATGTACTAGTTAAACCACTTCAGCAATTCTTTCTGGGAGTGATAAACAGCGCAACATAATTTTATAAGTAAAACAATACATGTAATAGATTAATCTGGTTGTCAACTTTAAACCAAACCTGGCAGCAGCCATTTTTCTGTTCCACAGTTGCCACTTTTTAGTTGACTACACTGAAGTTCTAGAAGGAAGATTGTGTCTCATAACTGTCCAAGCTCCCATATATAGCAATCAAAAATATCATCCTTGAAATGGCACCGCATTCCCCTAGTGTTTGTATAAATTTACCAGAGATTTAATTATTCTTTTCCCACAACCAAACAAGGAAATTCTGCTAAAAATATTCGGGTTTTTTCAGAGGTCATCATGTATGTTTAGATCCACTCTGATCTCATCTGCTATGATTGTCTAGCACTTAGATCAAAATACTGTGTTAGTTTGTAAACTACTTTCCTACTTAGGGCTCTGGTTTACGCAATATTCTGTATAAAATCCATAATTATGTCAGTAAGATTTCTGCGAAAGTTAAGATTCCTACTAAGACTTTCTAGGGTAGTTACAGAGAGTTATGATAGAGGTCTTTGGCTTTTACAAGCTGATGGATACACAAAATTGCCTCAATAATTTTTTATTTAATTATTTTTCAGCACAGCTTTTAAAAAAAAAAAGTTTAGGCACTAGTATTCATGATAAATACAATAGTATTTATAATAAAAATACAATATTTGTCATATTTGTCATATTTTCTCCTGACAAGGAAGATAGAGATGCTATTTCTAGAGATGAAAACAATAATAGCAACAAAAAAAAACCTACTTTGGAAGAATGAAATTAAATCTGTTTTAAATCCATGCATACATGGTAGAACTTGTTTCCTAGATAATTGAATCAATTCCCAAAAGTTCTGAAATATATTTCAGAGCCAAGCTAGGGGAGATTTTAATTAGGATTACAAGGAATGAAATTTTACTTGAAATTGACCAAATCTCCATCATCCATATAATAATGCATAACTGGAAGAGATAGTGTGAATCAGATTCTGAAATATAGGAAATCAAATAATTTCAGGACTGTACTCTTTAGCATAATTTAAAAGTGTTTAATGTTTTAGACAAATTAAATTTGTATTTGATTTATCCTTCACTGAGTCACCTCACAAGTCAATCACTTCACTAATTCTATATGCTATTTCACTTATAGTGGAGAATTGCTAGTAGAGAGTTATCTGAATGACTTTAAAACCCTTCTTTTTTTCCTTCTCAGTTCTTCCATCTTGTAATAGAATATGTCAAAATGTTCCTTCCATAATCAATAGCCACTTCTATTCCTAATTTCCAAATTCCCAATTATTTGAAAATGTATAAAGCACAATTTTAATGAATGTAGAGTCTAAATGGATATCAAATCCTATGATAAAAGTGAGCTTCAAGTTGAGTAATGATTAGAGAAGAGTAATCACACTGTTTTTGAAGAGTTTTAACTTGTATTCTTTTAAAGGTGGCTTAAGAATCTCCATGGCTTAGTATGTTTATTGTGCATGCTAAAAAGAGAGCATAAAATATGTGGAGAGGGAGAAAAAGATTAGTGGTGTTTCTTCATTATAGAAATAAAAGCATATCCTTATTTGTTATTCAAGGACCACACTTTGGGATTCACCTTTGATGTATGTCTCTGTCTCTCTCTGTCTATCTGTCTCTCTCTGTCTCTCTCTCTCTCTCTCTGTCTCTCTGTTTCTCTCTCTCTCTCTCTCTGTGTGTGTCTCTGTCTCTCTCTCTCTCTCTCTGTCTCTCTGTCTGTCTCTCTCTCTCTCTCTCTGTGTCTCTGTCTCTCTCTGTCTCTCTCTCTGTCTCTCTCTGTGTGTGTCTCTCTCTCTGTCTCTCTGTCTCTGTCTCTCTGTCTCTGTCTCTCTCTGTCTCTCTCTCTGTCTCTCTGTCTCTCTCTCTCTCTGTCTCTCTCTCTCTCTCTCTCTCTCTCTGTGCATGTCACTTAGAAATGCTAGATCTATGAAATGCCGCCTGTACATTCCAGGTAGATGCGCCATGAGTTTGCACACATTTTACTTTGAACTTCTTTGACACATTGATGCTGCTGCTGTTTCAGCAGCACAGTGAGAATGTATGCTATACCACTAATACTTTAAACTCAGTGGCTAGGCAAATTATCTTATTCTAACATGTGCCCTGCTTGTTTGTCACATATGTTTATCAAGCAAGAATGATACAAACAAGGGAGAAGAAATATTTATTGTGAGCTTTGACAGTTGGGTCTGAAGATCCCTTTTCAGAGGCAAAAGAAACTTACCATTTTTGGGCAATGACCACTCTGGCAAACAGGATATTTGACTTTTAGGTCTGAAGCATGTTGGGCCATAAAATAAATGTTTGCTTGGGTACTTTGATGACCATCACTAGCTCTCTGTGCTTTTGGCATCTATCCCGTGGTTCAAGCCTTGATGGTGCATGGAGGGACACAACCCTACAGAAAGAATAGTCACCATATGTATAAAAATCAGTTCTAAACATACCCCAAAATTATCTCCTTCTTTCGATTGTACTTAGTGGTCTTCATCTCCTCACCTTCTGATATTTCTGTATTTTTGTCTCTCTGTGTTTTGTTTTTTTCTTTTCATACAGAAAGAGTTTAACAACGATTGCAAACTAAAGGAGAGGATAGAAGAAAATGGATACAATACGTATGCCTCATTCTCCTGGAAAAATAATGGAAAGCAAATGTTTGTGGCTTTGAATGGGAAAGGCGGGACAAGGAAAGGACAGAGAACCAGGCGGAAAAACACTACTGCTCATTTTCTTCCCATGTTAGTTGACCCACAGATGAAGGACTTCTTCTACTGATTGCAGCTGAACCAAAGATTTTGTCAGGAATACCTTGTACTCCTCTCAAAAGGCAAAGGCAAAAACAGAGCAGATGTCTGTTTGACGGAAAAGGGGAAAAGGTTTTCTACTCTCTGTTGCATTATGAAGTACCTCTAATTAGCTATGTGTCATATGCTATAATCAAAACACAAGCTGGATCAGATGGGATCAGAGTTTTTTCCAACGCAAGAGAATTATGATTATTATTTTTTTATCTTGCCGGTAGAACTGAAAGGATATGAGACGATGTATGGGGTGATGTTGGGGAAAGTTATTTATGGAATACTAACTCAAATCAAAAGAACTTCATTCAAGCTTAATGATCCAATGAACAGTTAAGCATTGACTGTAAGCACATGGGTCATATGCAGAAAGAAGAAAAGATTTTGGAACGGTCTCATATGGAAAAGATGAATAGGATTAAGAAATATAAGCATATTAAAGTTGTTCTAACAAAATAAATAGTATGATTCCCCATCTCTTTGTATGCTAACGCCATGCCTTTGTATTTCTCCCTAAGTTATTTATTTAATAGGATGTTAAATATCTTTCTTCTCTTTTTTTTGATTGTTTGAAGGATTTTCTTAGTTGCTTCCTCTCGCATAATGGTTCTTTTCCTGCTGTCTATATTCTTTGCAAGATTGACAAAGTCAAACCTTGAAACCTTGCCCAAATTTCCATAAATACAGGAAGAACAACACAAAAGAAAAACATGGGATTGTAGATTGTGTTCAGTTGTGTTCCCCCCCTTCCCCCCCCCCTTGAAACTTGTCTTTTAAGATTTGCACTTAAAATTGATAGGATCAGAAACGAATGGAAATGGCAACCGGATCTGTGTGCATTTTATCAACATCTTTGATTACTGCTCTCCTTACAGATCCAAAACTTCCTATATAAGATCATCTACAGAGTTTTGCTACTGTTTTGAAGTGGGCAGAATTTATTTAGATATTCAAATGTCATTTAATGCCTGACCCCAAAAGTATTGAAATTGAATCAGAATAATTATCTTTTCTTTAAAAAAAAAAGAGTCATAACTATAGGTGTCCACATGTTATACCGGTGGTTTTTTAAAAAATGCTTTAAAATGTGTGGACTTTAATTCCCAGAATTCGAATCTTAACGTTGCTGAGGATGAGAAAAGGTATTTATACTAATGCAATTTCTTTTCAGAAAGACATTGAATTAAGTATATTGAACTGATAACATCTGAGCAGCTATTCATTTACATCATCACACCCGAAAAAGTAAATAGAAAAAGCCATTCCTTTGACTGTAGTCTGTTTCAGAAAACAGCCCTGAAATACATGGTGTTGAAAATCACATCTCGATCTAAATAAAATTCAATTCAGGATAGTTTCAAATATTGCATAGGAGTTGCAGAAGGGAAAGGAAATTGCATTGTATTTAACACTATCAAACCCAGTGCAAAAGCCTATTCCACAAACCCCTGAAGACTAAGACTAAACTCCTTTTATCTCTGCAGAAAATGTACACTTTCATGCAATGACTAGAACCATGTGCTATCTCCTGTGTAGTGTTGAAAGCTGCCCAGTGTTCTCGAGCATGTCAGTTTAAGATGTCTGTACTTGGTTCCACTAAAATCTTACCATTACAAATGAGAATAACCCTTTAATTGAAGATAAAGAATTGGCTGAACATCAGATGTGAGCGTTCACCTTTACTTAGGTGTGCTGATTGTCAGTTGTATCCCTGGGAGCCTTGGTTAAAAAGTTTGAGAAGTAGCATCTCAATTGATGGTGCTGAAAACCTGGTAGAAAGGCGGGTAGAAAAATATTGGGATTATATTGACCAAACAAGTGGCTGTTCCCTTTTTTATTTTGGTCATTACTTGCTGTTAATTTTTAATACAGGGGTGGCTAATCCATGAATCACATATTCCTATGCTCCATGTTCCTTCTGTACAATTTCTGAAGCTTCTTAGGGAGAAAATACCAAACAATTGCCTTGTACTTACCACCACCCAATGGTGGATTCCTACCGGTTTGGCTAAACCGGTAGCAGTTTGGTGGCCTGGGTCACTGGAACTGGCAGCGACCCAGGCCTGCCATGCCCCCAAACCAGTTCTCTGGGCAGCTATCTTGTTTTTAGCTTCTGTGAATGGGCAGAACAATTTTTATTACATTGTGCATGCACATGCCCACAAGAGAACCAGCAGTAGTGCCTGACGGAACCCACCACTATCCTGCTACATTGACTCTCAGCCATGGGCCACCAATAAAAGTGGGAGAAGAGATTTCAAAAACAAAAGAGAAGCCCAACTCTTGCTCCAAGTCTTCTGTGACATCATTCCAGTCTTGGCCCACCCACTACATCCCTTGGCCACTAGGGAAAAAATTAAACATTGCTAAGCTAAGAAATTGGTCATTCCTACTTTAATGTTTAGAGGCTAAGATTGTGTGTATTATATATTCAAATAGGTAATCCTAGTTCCAACTCCTGTGGATTAAGGGTGCACGATCTAGAAAAGGCTCCACAATGTGATCCCTTGTCAGTGTGAGTCCCAGAGGGAAAGAAATGCCTTGTCATCTTGGGGTGAATATTTAAGGTCCAAAATGGACTTTGATGATCATACAGCCATTTTAGCCTAGTCTAACTATATTGATGAGAATGGATCTGGTATAAATTATTTGAGGATTGCAGCCACTATTTTTCTTATGTGTATATAACTCTTAAGAGCCGATCTACAAGCAACATCTTTCTTCGTCTATCCAAATATAAGCAATGGCTCTAAAGCAGGGGTGTCAAACTCAAGGCCCGGGGATTAGATCTGCCCTGCAGGCCTGGCCTAGAAACAGCAAAGGACTGGCCTGCAGTGCCTCTGCCAGTGAAAATGGAGCTCCATTTTCTCTGGAAGGAGGGTTGCAGGAGACAGTTGCAGCTGAAAACAGAGCTCAGGAGCCTGTTTTTGCTGGCAAAGTGCTTGGGCCACCACCAGCACCTCTGACACGAGTGACGTCAAGCTGGCCACGCCCACCCTGTCACCCTGAGGCCAAACACAACCCTGAGGTGGCCCTCAATGAAATCAAGTTTGACACCCCTGCTCCAAAGTGTAATATTGGGCATAATTTTAATGGGGGGTTCTTTTTCATAGCTTACACTGAATAATGCAGTCTTCAGTTAAACATCATATCAACTTCTTTCAGTCTGAAAAAAGAATTATATGAGTTTTATTTTTTTGTTTTATTTTTTTTCTCTTTAACATTAGAGAACTGTGGATCAATATAACCATAACAAGATTCATTTTGTTAGAACAAGTTAAGTAGAAACTGTACATCCAACCAGCACGTAGCACCCTCTTCACAGTGTATCCCACTAAATAAATGAAGAAATGCTTATGTCTTCTTTGCAGTGTCTATAGTGAAGAGCAAATGTAGTTTGTTGTTTAATGAATATTAATATTCAAAATACTTTAAGGGGCTAAGTATATTGATACTGCAGGTTATTTTTATTTAGTATTTTTTCTCACAAAAAGAATGGGTTTAAAATGTTTGGAATTAGTAGTTTGGTACAGAAGCTTTACAAATAGGGTCCTTTTCGAAATAATGCATAATTGTGCAGTGTTGATCATGTTGGTGATTTTTATTGTACTCTTTTTCCATTCTCCCAATTCACTAAAAAAATCAACTAAAACTGTCCAGTAGGGAAACTATTCCAGAGTGTAATATAGATTGGTAAAAATTTTGTTCAGGTAATCCTTGACTATAATGGAGCCTGCCCATCATGAATGTAACTCGTGATGGTCATAAAATGAGACTGACCTGATTTTATTACCTTTCTTATGGAAAAATACCTATTGACATTAAGCAAATCTGTGGTTGTTAAGTGAACGCTGCAGTTGCCATGGCCGTGGTTTTGCCAAAAAATAGAAATAAATGCTATTTTCTGCAAAAACTTTGTAAAATGCAATGATGTGACTGCAAACAGGCCTAGATGCAGCCTGGTTGGCAAATGCCCATAGTGAGGTCACATGACTGAAGTGGGTGGGGTGAAGGGACAACTGTCAGAATTTCATATCCAATAAGTATCCCCCGTTCGATGCATCAGAATTTCAAATGGTCAGTAACTCTACAAATAGTCTACCACCTGTAGAACAAGGAAAATTCATCAGTAATAAATACAAGATATAATGTAATAAAGATAAAACACAGTCCAACTTAACTTCCTTGCATATGTGCATGGCAGTGCCTGTACTGTATCATATTCTCATCTCAACCTTGCCTTTTATCTGTGATTCAATATTATTTGAAGGATTATATTTAAATTGTTCTGTGCAGCCCCTTTGCCTCAATCTAAGTGCATTCTGGAAAGGTGGATTTCAACTCCCAGGATTCTCCACCAGCCTGTTTGTGGAGTCTCAAAATTGAAGTCAATCTACCTAGAGATCATTGTGGGGAGGAGGGGGAAAGTTCCCTATGCCAGTCATCCTTACTTAGACCTGACACCTATCATAGGATGTATTTGGCCTTGCAAAATATTCAGACTGCAGTTGCTTAGCCTTAAATACAAAATGCTTTTCCTGGGTGTTCCCTTATGCAAGCCCCCTCCCCCCCCGAAACATGAGATGGTGGAATAATTGTCTTGCGCAGCTGCCCCCCTGCTTTCACTAGACGTTGCCGACTGACTTCTGCTTTGAGTCACGTGGGCAAAACAGTATTTGGCACAAGTCCCCTTTTCTTGCCTGATATAGTGAAGTGCAGCTCCCAGAAAACAGAGTTGCACCAGACTGGGAAAGGCTGGGCTAAAATATTTTTGTCTTGTGGTTGAACAAAAAAAAATGCTTTACTCTCTGCAAAACTACCAACTGTTCGATTTGGAAATCATGATGGTCACTTATGTTGGCTGCATAATGAAAGGCTTGCACTATTAGGGAAAAAAGCTTTCCTTGTGTTACCTTTGTTGTTTTGTTTTGTTTTCAAAGTGATAATTGCAACTGACAAGGCATGGTGGACCACCCACAACAAAAAATAAATGTTTGGTTGACAAATAGAGGATTGGATGACCACTCTCCAGAAGAGTCGATGTGGTACAAACAAGCATTGGTTTGGGGTCTTGGGGAAGGGAAGACGTGTAAACATTCATAATTACAGGACTTCAAAAATTTGTAGAAAAGCTTCTTGTGGAAAAATACAGATTGGGTATAAAAATATTTATTAATAAAACATAAAAGTTAAGGTGAACAGATGTAAAGATATACAAAGTGGGAGGTTAACAATGTTGCTCTCCTTGTAAAAATGTCTATACTTTTCTTTCCAAATGTCTTTGATGTTTATTAGAGAAGGAAAAAGAATCAATTTTTTTCCTGGTTTAAATTTGCTTTTACTGTGCAGAATGTAACAAATTCCCTAATAAATTGAGCTATTGATCTATTTTCCTGAAAGGATAAGATTTTCCCTCCCTCTCTCTCTGTTAAATCATTTGCCTCTAAAATGAGAATTACATGTGCTGAAAATACAATACATTAACAGAAGCAGATTTTTAGAGCTTGGGAGCCATCCTTCTTTTGAACAGGTAAAATAATTGAAAAGGATGAAAATAAGGTAATTTTTAGGGCGGGGGGGGGGGAACTAACAAGAAATGACTAAATGTATTCAGACCTGGCCTTAGATAGGTTTTTGAAGACCTCTCAAGCAGACGTTCATAGCTATTTCACTGATGGCTGAGCTTTTTTAAAATAAGAACTTTAAAAATCCTGCAAATTAATGTGCAGATCTTTGCTGCAATTTTCCAGAGTAATATTGTCCCAATATTGAGCGCATGTACAAGGAACTTCTCAATGTGAAATATTGTTTGAAACAAATCCAAGCACTGATATGACTCATTTTAAAGGGATTTGTACTAGAGAGTTTATGGGTGGATGCAGAGTGTTTTTCTGAATCCA